CTTTTCCCCATTTCCCCAAAACAACCGATAAAATCACTCATCCCCTTTTATCCCCCCCTTTCCCCAACAGCTGTGTGCACGACGACAACCCAAAACTGAAGGATAAAGTTGTAAATACGTATTGTTGGATCCACACCACTTTCACGCTGCCAAAACACATCGACAAGGGCTATGGGAAAGGTAAGGCTGATTTGGCTGGTATCATAGCTGTTGGTATTACTGTTGGTATTACAGTTGGTATTATATGCTTGCTAAGATTTAATCGTGTGGTTTAAGCATGCTGGAAAGCTGATACTATTTGTCATTTTGTAAATAATCACACATGCATAACTAGAGTATATGGATAATAATATATAGGAATATATATATATATATATATATATATATATAATATATATATATATATATATATATATATACATATACATAAATACATATATATATATGTGTGTGTGTGTGTGTATGTGTGTCTGCTTCTTTCCTTACGCTAATAATTCACACATAATTTACTGTATTTTTTCTCTCTTTTCCCCAGGGACGGGCGTGGCATACCCTGGCGTTGGTCCTCTCTACCCGACTGATACCAAGACGTACCACGCCTACTACCAGTGGGTGCCGTTCGTTCTCTTTCTGCAGGTGCGTTGAGTGGTATCAGGGGCCTCTTATCTCCTCCTCTGCTGTTTTTTCCTCTCTTGTGTTTTTTTTTTCCTTCTTTTAGCTTTTTTCCTTTCTCCCTATCTCTCTCTTTCTCTCTGACTCTGACTTTTCCGCTTTCTTTCTTTCTCTCTCTCTCTCTCTTTCTTTTTTTTTTCTCTCTCTCTCTCTCCCTCCCTTCCTCCCTTTCCCTTCCCTTACCCCTTCCCTCCCCTTCCCCCCCCTCCCTCCCTCTCCCCCCTCTCTCTCTCTCTATTTCTCTCTTTCTTTCGTTTGTCTCTCAGTCTGTCGTTCTCTCCCTCTATATTTTTTCCCATTCCCCCTTTGTGTTTGCAAAAGTACTTCTCACTTGATTTTAAACATTTACAGTCGTAAGATGAAAGAAGTTGAAGATACAAACCCTCATTCAATTACAATTCACCGTTATGAGTTTTTTACTTTTAAATATTTATATCATGTTTCATTAATTTCCTGCCGCTGTGTCGGACAGTCCTGGAAGGTACGTAGTAAGATCAACAGGATATCCTAGTTGGCTGTTCTGATTTCGGGAAATTTCTTTGCAGGATAAGCATGATCGTTTTGTTTTGCATTCAGTGTGGTGGAAACGCCCACATATACAATGTTTACACAAACATGCATAAACACACACATTCAGTAACTAACACACAGAGAGAGAAACACACACACACAGAGAAACACACACACACACGCACACACAGAAGCACACACACGCACAAACATACACACGCACATTCACGAATAAAAACATACGCATGCAAGGCGGAAGACAGGCAACATTTACATGGTCTTACACAAAGCTCGAATATAAAATAAGAACTTGTGCTTGTTCTCTAAATCCATGATAATGCTGTGGCCTTCTTGGAGCTAACGCACGCCTCGTTCCCTCCCCTCGCAGGGCCTGATGTTCTACGCCCCGCACTGGCTCTGGAAGACGTGGGAGGGCGGGAAGCTGGAGTCCATCGTCATGGGGCTCTCCATCCCCGTCATGAACAAGGAGGAACGCCACGAGAAGATCCACCTGCTGGCCGACTACCTCCACGCCTCCCTCCACCACCACAACTTCTACGCCATCAAGTTCTTCCTGTGCGAGCTGCTTAATTTAGCGAACTGTTTGTTCAACATGTGGTTCATGAACGAGTTCCTGGGCGGGATGTTCTTCACGTACGGCATCGACGTGCTGGCCTTCACGGAGACCAACCAGGAGGAGCGCACGGACCCCATGATCGTGGTGTTCCCGCGGGTCACCAAGTGCTCCTTCAACATGTACGGGCCGTCGGGCACCATCGAGACCCACGACCTCATGTGCGTGCTCGCGCTCAACATCATCAACGAGAAGATCTACGTCTTCATGTGGTTCTGGTTCGTCATCCTGGCCATCATCAGCACCATGGCGCTCATCTACCGGCTCCTCGTGTTCTGCGTCCCCGCCATCAGGTCGGGGCTGCTGCAGAAGCGCGCGAGGCTGCGCTACAAGAACAGCATCGACGCCGTCTCGCGCAGGCTGCAGGTCGGCGACTTCTTCCTGCTGTACCTCCTGAGCAAGAACGTGGAGCTGCTCTCCTTCAGCTCCCTCATGGAGGAGCTGTCCCTCCGGCTGAGCAACCGCCGCGTCCACCCCGACCTGGACGTGTCGCCGCCCCCCGTCCAGCCCGAGCGGTTCCACCTCATGAACGAGAACGCATGACAATCGGCCGCCCTCGAGGACACCTGCAGGAGGGACGAGGACTCCGCGAAGGCCGAAGACAAGGTGGACCCCGAGGGCTGCTGTGGCAAGCTGTGCAGATGCGTTCCCTGCAAGTGAGCGCCTCTGCCTCGAGACCGTCGG